CACCCTCTTGGCTAATCCTCTTCCAAACTGTGCCTGTTTAATTCATCACATATTCACTATCCACTACAGTCAGTTGGCAGAAATAACTTTTCCAAACCACTGCTTTGCTATTTTTAACTCCCAACAAACTCCTCTATTGAATAAATATTAACTTACTGTCTTGTGGGAACTTCAGTGAGGCTTAACTTGGTTGGTCATAGTCACTTAACTCAACCCCAAGTAGTTAAACTGTTTTGTAGTTGTTCTTTCTCTCTATATATAAGCGTGTGTGTGAGAGAGAGAGAATGAGAGAGAGAGAGAGAGAATAGAACAACAAAATAAATGGTATATTTTTCTCTAAACTCAAGGGAATAATATGGTGATATATCACAGGAGGATACAGCAAGAACTATAGGGGTGCCTTTCTTAGTAAAATTGTTGTGCTAGGTTTACTGGTCTGGCTTAATATGTTTTTTTTTTTTTTAAGTTAGTGGATTTGGGATTACTCTGAAACCACTGAGAAAAAAAAGAGTATTTCAAAGTAGCCTGTAACTTCATGGAAATGCAATATGAGATGGCATATCCAGTGCCAGTGATCATCTACTGGAAGATAATGACTTATTTTCTACCGTTAAGAGTTTTTTCCGCATAGACCGCAGAAATGGCACTGACTTTCAAACTTTATTGTTCCAATAGAAGAGAATATCTGTAGCTCAGGGTTGAACTGTGGAGTTCTTGGTGCTCAGAGACCACCAAGAACTCCACAATTTTTATTGTCTATAACAAACCATTTCAGCCTAGGGGGATGAAGTTGTAGCTATTTTCCTTCAATTATTCACAACTACTTTCCCTCTCCATTAGCAAGTACCTGACAAATGAGACAGAAAATTCTACATTACCAATAGAAGAGAATATATGTAGCTCAATGCTGAACTGTGGAGTCCTTGGGGTTCTCTGTGCTTGGTTGTTTTCTTGCAGGCATTCCATTACCCCACTAAGAAACATCTTCAGTGCTAGAAGGAAGTGGGGTTTGCTCTCTGCTTATATACAGTAGCTTGCCCTGTCAGTGTTAGAGGGGGTATTGTTTATTTCTTGGTAGTTCCTAGATTAGGCTGTTGTTTACTGCTTGGTTGCCTGTCTGGTGTTAATCTCTGCTTATCTGGGTGTTGATTGCTGGTGAGGAGGTGTTCTGGTGTTTTTGTTTCCTTTTTATTGTCTCTTTTGAATGGTGTGTAAATGTTGTTTGTCTCTATGTGCCTGTTGATGGGTGACTTGTCTGAATACCACATTTCCAGGAATTCCTTCACATTTTTGGATTTAGCTTGGTCTAAGATGCTGATAGTTTCTTGGTTGAAACTATGGTTGAGTCCGTCCATGTGTTGTGAGATTAAGGAGTTTTCATCGTGTCTTCTGACTGCTGGTTGGTGTTCATGGATGCGCTCTGCTGGTCTCCTGCCTGTCTGTCCTACATGATGGCTGTTATAGTCCTTACACTGTATGCTGTAGATGACTCCTGTTTTTCCTTCTTGAGCTACTGGTCTTTTGGTTTACTTTTGGAGGGCTTTAGTTGGTTTGTGTGCTACAGTGATGCCATGTGGTT